TGCTAAAGAAAATCTCGAACTTATTAAAATGAATTGTTTGCCCAGAACTCTCCCCATAGAGGCGTAAAATATTTTAATACTAGAGGCCACCCGAGCAGTTGCCTCTCCAACAACAAGACAATCATCAACAAAAAGGAGATGAGAAATCATATGTGCATACTAATTAATTTTAACACTTGCAATTCTCCCAATGAAACTTCTTGGCGTAATAAGGAATATAAACCCTCACTACAAATAAGAAACAAATAGGGACTAAGCGGGTCACCTTGACGAAGACCTTGTTGAGGCATAAATTTCTCTTCTGCTACTTCGTTTATGATCATCGAATATGTTACCAAGCATAGACATCACTTAAAGAACTTGATCCAATTAGGCGAGAAGCCCATCTTTTCCATGATAGCCCATAAAAAAGGTCACTCAACTCTATTATACGCCTTATTCATGTCAAGATTCAAAGCAAAATACCCCTTACGACCCCCTCGCTTCTTCTAGAATAAGTGCAAAAGTTCATAGGCGGTAATAAAATTATTCGTGATCAACCTCCCTAGAACAAACGTGTTACGTGCTTCATTAATGCAAACATGCAAGAAATGCTACATTCTATGTACCAACATCTTTGACACTTTTAAATATAACATTGCATAAACTAATAGGTCGTAACTGACTAAACTTACTCGGCTCCGCAACTTTCTTGATAAGCACAATGTGTGTGTGGTTTATTGACTTCATAACATAACGCCCTTAAAGAAGACCAATGCAAAATTCTACAACTTCAACACCAATCCAATGCCAGAACTGCTGGTAAAAGAGAACACCTAATTTGTCGTCCCTTGAGGTCTTTAATGGGCGCATGGATTTAACCATAAACGAGACCTCATCCACACAAAAATCCCATAACAAAGAGGCATTCATATTTGCAGAAACACAGAGAACAATACCATCCAAAATGCTATTATCCATTGAGGCAGAAGTAACCGTGAAGAGGGTTTGAAAATAATCTCGAGCTAATTTTCCCCCCAACTCATTACCAATTTGACTACCATCATTAGCATCAAAGGAGGTAATTTTTTTTATTATTCCTTTTCTTTTGAGAGGTATACATGTGAAAAAAAGTCGTACTATCTTCATTCCTCAACCAATTCGCTCACGTCCTCTGCTCCTAATATAATCATTGTTTCTCCACTTCCAATTGAGTTGAAGCTTTGTGTCCACTATTTCACCTAGCTAGGCCTGTAAACAAACAAATGAATACGAGCGAGAGTATTTTCATGTTCGTTCATTTAACTTTAACTAAACGATCAAACACTTGAACAACTAAATGAACTAAATTTTTCGTTCGTGTTCGTTCATTAAGAAATTTTTCGTTCGTGTTCGTTTATTAAGAAATTTAGCTTGTTCATGTTCGTTTATTAAGAAATTTAGCTTGTTCGTGTTCGTTTATTAAGAAATTTAGTTTGTTCGTGTTCGTTTATTAAGAAATTTAGCTTGTTCGTGTTCGTTTATGTTCGTTTGTTAAAATGATAAACAAACACAAATGAACGAACACAAACGAACGAACATAAACGAATGAAGATAAACGAACGTAAACGAACATAAAATTAATTGTGTTTAGATTAGAGAAGAGTTTTTTTTTTCGAATAATTTTAGGATTTATATTTTTTTAATTAATTTGAGTATTTTTATTTGGGTTGGGTTTCAAAATATTAATAGGTTTAAGGTTAAAATTTATTAGGTCTTAATATTTCAAACGGGTATGGAGATTGGGTCAAATATAAACGAACGAACATAAACGAACATAAATGAACGATTATAAACGAACAGGTCATCGAACATTCACAAACGTAAATGAACGAACGAGCTCTTTGTTCATGTTCGTTCATTTAATTAAACGAACATAAAATCTTGTTCATATTCATTCGTTTAATAAATAAACGAACATAAACGAACTTTCCATCGTGAACGGTTCGCTGAACGTTCGATTCATTTACATGCCTACGCATAGCACTTCATTCGTTAGAGGTAGATCGACCACGTCTACCGATTTTTTTAAGTCCATAGCCATCAATCACTTTGTTCGACAAATATTTTTGAACCATTCATCCTACTCGTGACTAACATGGTTTAATTTATTTAGAACTAGGCCCTCATCTTCGGTACATAGGCACTGAACTTCACTTTCACAAGACCCTTTCAATAACCATGGTTCTTCAAACTTGAAATGCCACATTAGAACCACATTAATCAAAGCCTTCTTATCCAGGAGTGATAGACAGTTATCCGAGAAAACATGCATAAGATGGGAAAAAGAATAATATGGGAATAGTTGTCTCTAGGAGTTGCATGCTAAACCTCTATCCAAACGTTCGTAAACATTGTTATCAACCCTTCTCCCGCTCTCACACATGAACCAATATCCCGAAAAACCAACATCCATCAAACTATAATCATCAACCTCGTTCCCTTTCAAATGAGAACATGATTTCATTAGAATCCCCAATCATAAGCCATCAAATATTTGGGGTATATTTAAAAACCTCAAAAGATCTCAAGACTCTAATCTAAGATTCTTCCTCAGGGCACTATAAAAATGCGTCGAATTCCACGTATAACCATCATATTCAGTAGTAATTAGAACATCAATGTGTGAACTTGAAGTAGAATATAAAGAATCATTGCACAAGGGATGCCAAGCCAAACACAAGCCTCCACGAGTCCCAAGAGGATCGACTTCAATTCCACATAAAAAACCACAAGAATTACAAACATTTTCCATACGTGAATTATGAAACTCTGTCTTTATAAAAATAAAAAAAAAACTACAAATGAGTTAGCTCCGAGGCAACCCCTAGTCCCAAACGTTTCAACTTAAGAGTTTCATTGTGTTTGGCTAGCCCGTGGTTTTAGGCATGTCGATAGATTAATATTTCTAGTCGTATTTTCATCAAAGACAATCGAAGTTGATTAGGCATTCCTCTGTCGCTTCGCATTCAGCTACTTATCTATAGGGTTATCCTCTTCAACTGATGTCATAATCACGTCAAAACCCCTTACAGACTAGCATCAGTCACTATGGGCGTAAAAGATCTCTCAACCCAAGCCTTGGTTTGTCTACCCAACCCTGTATACACTAGTGGTATCGAACCCATCTCTGCTTCGTAAGCAATCAAAACACCAACTTTCACATTGTCTTCACGCAACCATGGGCTAGAAACCACTCCAAGGAACACAAATAGAAACATCACACAACAAAGGAAGATCGCTTTTCTCTTAGAGAACACATAACATATAATAATTTTCTCTATGGCCAAGTTTACCGCAAAGGAAGCAAAATAATTTGAGTTTATCATATTGAAAGGAAACATAAATAAAAGAACCATTTGGTAAAATGAGTCTTTTCTTCCTCTTCAACGGCTTTCGAATAATAATACCCACTCAGATTCTGATAATCCCCCTGTATTTCAAGGAAACTGCAGTAGCATCATATTCGACGAACGAACCAATAAAAATTCCAAATTATTTTACTACGTGTTCATAGATAAACACTAGAATTGTCTGTCCAGCTCAGTTGATAGAGCACAAGACTCTTAACCTTGTGGTTGTGGGATCGAGTCTCACAGTGAGCAATTCATAATTGCTGAAGGTCTTCCACGGAAGTTGCTCTCAACCTAACGTTAGGGGCAGCCTACTACCCTACCTCCCCTCACCCCATTACATATGGGAATAGGGTCAGCTAATTTATTTATTTACATAGATAAACACTACCAATAAATGATTAACTAGAGCCCATAATTCAATTCTATTAAGAGCCACCAACATTGGGTGTTCCCCTAAAATCAAATTATGCAAAATTAACAGACGAGAGTTAAAATATCAAGGACAATATGATATAATTCGGTTTGAATACACTTTGTGATAGAGTAAGAACAAAAATCGGCCATTCCCTAAGTCGGTAATAGAGATGCCCCCAATAGGATATCAAACATTTGCCAAGGTAACCTGCGTCATTTCAATATTAATCATACTAGTAGTGAGAAAACAAACAACAAGATAGTTATCAAATTTTTTTTAGGGAGGAGCATACGTCTGCTCAATTATTAGGGTTTCCTCCTCCTCATCACTGAGATTAAGACCCTTCAACTCATGTTTTATCTTTCCCATAATCAAATACACAAAAATAACACAACCCTTGACCACGAAAACTAGCAAGAACTAGAAAAACTGAGACCACAACTCAATGAACATGTCACAAAAGGTAGAGAAACAATGTACCAAACGACAGAGAAATCCTAACGCAGAAAAACATTTTAAATTTTAACTTATTTTTTTTATTAAATATGTAATTTTTATGTTGAAATAAGATAACGCTTTAAATTAGAGCAAAATAACATTTTAAATCTATAAATTATTTGTTCAACAGTCACATCGCAAATTAACTTAAATGAATTGTTGCACATGAAAAACTTCATATTTACCACTGCTTTTTTGGTAGTTAAGCGGTACAACCTAATAATTAAAGGCTAAAAACAACAACAACAAAAAAGGTATAATCGAAAATATTATCAAAAAAATAATATTTTAGGTTGAGTGTAAATTAAAATATTATATTTTTTATAATAATTTCGATTGAACATAAAATATTACAAAAAATATAATATTTTCGGTTGTCAACTACAAATATTATGAAGAATGTAATATCTTAAGTGATACCTAACTTAAAATATTATAATTTTTATCACATTTAGGATCGTCTTTATTTCTATCATTTTTTAACATTAAATGAAGTTATAATTCTTTAAACTTTTAATTTTTTTATCACATTTTCGGTAGCCTTGATTTCTATATTTTTTTAATATTAAAATAGGTTGTTGTTGTTTTTTTTATTAAAAAGAATTCCTTTTTTTTAAAAAAAGAATTCCTTTTTTTTTTATAAAAAAAATAATGGATTCGTAAGCAATCCTAAATAGTTAAAAGGCGAGAAAGACTGCATAATCATCATCTCACATTCTGAGTTATGGCCACAGCTCTGCCATCTACAGCATGGCACGCAATACAGCTTCAACCGCAACCTCGTCTCCTTCAGCGTCGGCGCCCCTTATTAGTCCAATCCTTCAGGAGGAGCGACTTCGACACCTTCACTCGCCGCATGGCCTCCGGTGAGGCCTGGAAGGACGCCTGGCGAACTGCCAACGACGGCTTCGAGCAATTCGTTTTCGAAGCTAAAAAGACCGCTGAACGCTTAGACCGCCAGTACTCCATTTCCCGCCAACTCTCCTCAGCCGCCCAATCGGCTACGGACCGTGCTCGTGAAATTGACAGGGAGTTCGAGATTGGACTACGTTGGCGGACTTTTTCTATGGATTTTAGCAGAAATTGGCCTAGGGTTTGTGTTTTTTTTTCAAATCTAATTTATTTATTTTTTGGAATTTATATACTTACAATATTTTTTTGGGGGGGGGGTGTTTGTTGATATGGTTGCAGTACAGGAAGCAGCTGAATGATTTCTTGGATACTCCATTGGGAAGAAGTTCTGCTGTAAGTAACATTTGGTCTAGTTTCAATTACATTGCGTTGCTAATTCTGAAAATATTTTTTTTCATACAGCAAAAGAAGTAAAATGCGACGCGTTCTAATTGATTAAATGCTTAATTTTCTATGATGTTAAGTAAATTCTTACGTTTTACTATCTATGAAAGTTGAATCTTAGAGTTTTAGTTTTTCAAAAATATTGCCATTTAGACTTCTAAATGCTCGATTGGCTTTTGAAAGAAGGAAAGAAAAGAAGAAAGTAAATAATTAGACAAAGCTAGCGAATGCTTTATCTGTATATGTTGGTTGGACTCTTAATTTTTCTTGAAGTACCCATTTCTGATACAGAGATAAGGAGATATAACCTTCAAGAATCCTCCAAATACATGAAAAACTTACAAAACCTGACCGTACCCGCATGAGACACATGCCTTTCTTGGACATGCACCCTGGGGTCCTAGTAACATAGATGATGACAATAACTTATGTTCATGCATCCCCTGTTCCATGCCTGTTCTGTTTATCTGGTTTAATAACAATTATAATGTGAAAGAAGTTATTAACATTGGTTTCTGCAGGTGGTGGTTGTTAAATGTTAAATAATTGGTGAAGTTCAAAACTCTTGAGACCTATAGTTTAACTTGCAAATGTCCAATATCTTGTCTGTAACTAATTAAAAAGGATGGGACATTTACTGAGGTTAATTAATATTCGACATCACTAGTCTTTGGTGTTTATACCTACCTGCACCACAGTTAAGCTTCAAAACCTATTTCAAGTTGGCTTTGATTGAAAATTTCATATGCCAAAGTTGCTTGTTGCTTTCATTTTGGGGGTTCATTTGATAGGCTTATTATTTTATATTTTTTCTATATGTTGGGACTATGTTTAAGGGTGAGTATTATGTTATCTTTCATGTCATATCAGCTCTCTATCAGTTTGTGTAGTGGTCTTATATTAAAGTAATTGGCTATAGTCCCAATGCTTATGACTCATTCATCAATATCTTCTGCATCGGAATTTAATCTTTCCAAGATGTTTTTCTTCAATGCAGAGAAAATTAGTCAAAATCCTTTGGATTTTTATTTTTTTATTTTTATGGGAAGTGCTAGAACCTAAATACATTTTTGCTTGGGTTTGCTAGCTTATTTCTTTCAGGATAATAGAATTTATTTTATCTGTTCGCAGACAATTTTCTTCCTTTGGTTTGCATTATCTGGTTGGATGTTTCGATGCATAATATTTGCCACATGGATTCTGCCGTTTGCTGGACCTCTTCTCATTGGGACTGTTGCAAAAAATCTTGTTATAAAGGTATCACTTATTTCTGTAAGATGGCTCATGTAATGCAGGACAAAGGGATGACTTGTGTAGCTTGGTTATTTTTTATTACTTGTTTTCTTTTTACGTGTAAAAGGTGCTGCTAGGTGAGTTCTTTCTGTAACATGTGGAACTTTAAGATCCAAATTAAAGTCTATTTCTTGCTTGTGATCTTTAAGTTACTTTGTTAGTAGCTGAACAAATATTTTACTTGCCATTCTGATGATTACAGTTTAAGATGCTTTAATATGGTCCTTTAGGTGCAGAATGGTGATGATGAATGCTCGTGACTTCTAATATCTCTTTCATTCTTGTTAACTATGAACTATAGACTGCAATTTAGAAAAACTAGAAATTATAATTTTAAATGCCATAGTTAATAAAACAATGTTACTATGATAGAGTCCATCAAACATTGATAAGAGTAAAATAGTCGAGCACATCCTTAAAACATTTAGCTTGTAGGAAGATCTTTATTCTATTAACATATATTAATGTTGGTTTGGTTTCAGTGGGAGGAATAGTTTGAAAAAAGAAAATGTAGATGGTAATTAGCCACTCTTTTACTCATGATTCTAAATTGTTTAAACCTTCTATTAATCAAGTTACTTTGTAAAACTTTGTTTGTTGTTCTCATCTTTCTATTTGTTTGCTTTCTTTTCAGTGGATTAGATTGAAAAGTTCTTGAATGTTGTTTTTCAAGTTTTGTGAGGAAATAAAAAGTATGGTTACAGAAGTAAATGGGATCCATTTATTCTCAACTTGACTCCAATTTTGTGTTTGTGGCATGGTTTATGTTGATGTGCTTTGGCAGGGTTTATGTTCTGAAATCCTTGTATTACCTTCTATAAACTTGTAAAACATTATTTAAAACGGCTTACCGACCTTTCCATGTTAAAAATTGGACAGGGTGCTTGTCCAGCTTGTAAGAGAGAGTTTGTTGGCTATAAAAACCAAATAATCCGATGTGCGAGCTGCAGAAACATTGTATGGCAACCCGAAGGAGGCTTCTTTCGCGGAGATAGCAGGAGTTCCAATTCAAGAAAGTCGGACCCTGAAATTATCGATGTTGAATTCGAGGAGAAATGACAAGATGTTCTCAAATCATACAAGTGATGTTTCACCTTTTAATGGAGTCAAACGAGACCAGAATGCAGTTCTTGCTAGTTTCTTCTGAGGTTTGGTTTCTTGAAAATGTCATGTTGCCGCTAGCACCTGTACCGTATAGCATCATTATGTGCTGTAGTGTCTTTATTTACGAGGAAACTTAAAAGAAAGAGGATGCTAATAATTTGGTCATAGAAAATATTCCATTTCATAAGCTATATATATATAGGTTGTAGTTTGACGTGTGAAATCCTAGGCCGTGGAGGTCAATGTTTCAGAAATGCTTCAATATTTGTGTAAGAATTTATGCTTATATTGGTTCGAAGTAGGTGCCTTCATTTTCGGATATTGGAAATTATTCAATCCTAAATTTTGCCAAAAATTCGGATCATTAAAATTGTTAATTGTATCCAATTTGAAAAATTAGATATTTGATTTTTTAGGTATCCGGATCCGACAAAATTTATTTTAGCACAAATTTATATGTAAATTTTGATAAATTAAAATAGATGATGTGACAAGATAGTGTTACTATTAGGGGTGCACAAAAAATCCGAATATCCGATTTTGCGAAAAAAATATCCGAAACTGGATTTGGGAAAAATCGGTATTTTTTTAACCGGATCGGATTTTTTTAAATCGGTTATTTTAACCGGTTTGGAGAAAAAAACCCATACCGGTTTTTTTACCGGATAAAAAACCGGTTTGAAAAAAATCGGTTAAAAACCGGTTTTTATCCGGAAAAAAAAACCGGTATGGGTTTAAAAAACTAGCCGTTAATATAGCCGTTTGTGACCGTTTTTTACCGTTTTTTCTTTAAAAAATTACCATTTTACCACCCTAAACATGTATAAATAGGTTGGGGATGTATTTGGTTGATTACAACTTTCTCAAATCTTATTACACAACACTTAAACATCTCTCAAATCTTAGTTTTGTAATTTTTTGTTCATCATGAGTAACACGGCTGAATCTTCCGTCGGGGGAAACCTTGAAGTCGTGAGAGTGATCGAACACACTCGAAACAAAGATATTTGGGATCACTACGATTTATGTGAGATGTCAAATGGCTCGAGGAAGGCGCGTTGTAAACTTTGTCTAAAGTTTCTTGCATCGGAAGGAAACACAACGTTGAAGAACCATTTGACAAAATCATGCAAGGCACTTCGCTCAAGATCGGATCCTAGTCAATTGAATCTTACACCGCAAGGTGGTGTTTTTGTTTACGACAACGAAAAATTACGAGAAGCGTTTACAAAGTTCGTGATTACAAAAGCATTGCCGTTAGACCACTTTGATGATGAAGATTTCACGACAACAATTCAACAACTAATGCAACCACGTTATACTCAAGTAAGTCGTACTACCCTTAGAAGAGATGCTATAAAAATGTGGCGTACGGCGAGGGAAAAAATGATTTTAGGATTCCAAGAACACCGTTATGGTGTGTCGCTTACATGTGACGTTTGGAGTTCCCCTCATAATACCGGAAATTCTTTTTTAGCCATTACGTCACATTGGTTAGATCAAGATAATTGGCAAATGATGAAAAGAACAATCGCGTTTGAATTATTCGGTGAGCCGCATACCGGTGCTAATTTATTTACACTTTTAAAACGGGTAATTTGTCTTTATAAATTAGAAAATAAAGTTTTTTCTATATCCTTTGATAATGCATCGAATAATACAAACGCGGTTCCAAGATTGAAAATATTACTTTCACCGATTTTAGACGGTGCGTTTTTTCATACCCGTTGCGTTGCACACATAATTAATTTATCCGTGCAAGCCGGTTTGGAGGTTATTGAGCCAATTAGATTAGAATTTAAAACAATGATAAAATCGATTCTTTGTAACAACAACAAAAGACTAAATGATTATAAACGATTTTGTAAGTCTGTTAATAAAAAAGCTTTGGGTCCTAATTTGGATTGTCCAACTCGTTGGAACTCAACTTGGATGATGATGCATACTGCCTTAAGGCAAAGGGAAACATTGCAAACATTTCACGATCGGCTTTTCGAGAGGGGTCATGTCCCAAACATTTATCCGGATTCGAGTTGGGAAACTATAGCCAAAATAACCGATTTGCTTGAGGTTTTTAAAAATGCAACAGCTTTTTTATCCGGTGTTTATTACCCTACTAGCCCGTTGGTTCTTAATCAAATATTTTTGTTGGCTACCCGACTAAATGACTTTAAATTTGAAACCGAAGTTTTTCAAGAAATTGGCTTTGCAATGAAGGAAAAACTTTTAAAATATTTTAAGGAGATTCCCCCCATTTTTACTTGTGCTGCCGCTTTAAACCCAACGTTAAATGTTGGTGGGGTTGAAACACTAATTGAACAAATTGCGTTTGCTTTTAATCTAACCGATGATGAACCCAACTTTGTCCAAAACCAAATAAATTATTTTAACAAATGTTTTCGAGACATGTTTGCAATTTATTTAACTAAATACGGATCAAGTAGTGTAATACACGATCAAATGAGAATGAATGCGGAATCATCTAATAGACGTCCAAGTAACATAAATTTGAATCTTTTTAACACTCTTGTAAATTCCCAATCCAAACGATCACGTACTACCACCCCAAGTAGCGAGTTGGGAAATTACATGTCATGCGATTTTCTATCAAAAATGACATTTGAAGAGTTTGAAAGTTTGGATATTTTGGCTTGGTGGAAATAAAAGGAAGCACAATTTCCGATTCTAGCCGCCATGGCCCGTGATTTACTAACCGTCCAAGCTTCTACGGCAGCTTCGGAATCCGCTTTTTCTGTTAGTGGCAGGGTTATATCACAACGGAGATCAAGACTAAGTCCCGAGTCGGTGGAAGTATGCATTTGTTTAAAGGATTATTTGGATGGAGCGGCTCGTAAGCAACATATCACCACCCTAGAAGATGCAATTGATGCCGATTTGGAAGCAAATTTACACATTGAAGAAGTCGAACTTGGAATATCCCCTCCAAACGAAGAAGGCGAAGATGATGAAGAAGAGATGGCAATGTAGTTTATTTTATAACTTTATTTCAATTATCGTAAACTTTGTTTCAATTATCGAACTTGAAGTTTTTAAGTATTTGAATTTATCGAACTTGGAAGTTTTTAAGTATTTGAATTTATCAAACTTGGAAGTATTTAAGTATTTCAATTATGTTGAGTTAATTAAGTATTTCAATTAAGTATTTGAATTTATCGAACTTGAGGTTTGATGCTTTCTCTTTGATTCTCTCTTGATTCTAGTTGCTTGATGTTTCTTGTCTTTGATCAATGGCTTCTAAGCTTGCTTAAATACACCTTGAATCACTTCTGAACGTTAGTGATAATTAATGAAGATAATATAGCCGTTTAAGTGTGAAAACATTTAATAAAAATGCTTGGAGCGTGGGGGAATCGGTACCCTCTCATAGGGAATCGGTTTCCTCTCATAGGGAATCGGTTCCCTAAGTGTAAAATTCAAATATTTCGACCGTTGAATAGGGGGGAATCGGTACCCCTATGGGGGAATCGGTTCCCTCCGAGCATTCTGGAAATCTCGGAGCCAAACCATTCAGTGAGGAATCGGTACCCCCTTGGGGGGGAATCGGTTCCCTATGAGCAATCTGGAATATTAAAATCGGTTTTTTTATAACCGGTTTTTTAAAAAAACCAGTTTTTTTAAAACCGAAACCGGTTACACCGGTTAGGATATCAGGCCCTCCAAACTGGTTAGAAACCGAACCGGTTATTTTATAAACCGGTTTTTTTCTATGGGAAAAAACCGGATCGGATAAAAACCGATCCGGATCGGATTGAAATCCGAATTATGTGCAACCCTAGTTACTATCATTATCAAAATAAAAAAATATTAAAATTTGTAAAAAGTTATAAGAAATATATAATAATTAAAATTTTTACAATTTATAAAATTATAGATTTAAAAAATAAAAATGAAAACAATTAAAAAAATTAAAAAAAATTGATCAATGTGAAAAAATAGACATTTATGTTTATATGTGAATGTGGATTAAAAAGGAAGTTGGTACTAATGTAAAAAAATAGACAAATTCAAGTATCATATAAATTTTTAAAAAACTAGGTATAAATATGAGAAAAATGTACAAATTCAAGGCCTAAAATGTGACTTGTCTCATATTTTAGTACCTAAGTTTAAAACAGAAATAAAAATTTACCTGACTTTGATTTGATTTGTCTCAAAATATTATATACTTTGAAAATTATATCAATTTTTATAAAATTAAATAAAATACATATTATAAAATCTCATAAAGTAAAAATGTTTAAAATGTGAGAATGATTTATAGTTCTTAAATCGCATAAATTAGAGTTAGTTGCATCATACGTGCTCAAGTTATGATATTTTTAAATTGATCCCTAAACTTCTAAATATTATAATTTCATCCCTAAATTATAACTATCATTCTAAATTTATCCTTAAACTTTTTAACATTTTAGTTTCATTCCCAAACTATATCATTCATTCTAAATTGGTCCCCAAACTTTTTTCAACATTTCAATTTCATCCCAAATTATATGTATACACTAATCATGTTCTATGTTAATAAAATCTTTAGGCCAAGCTATATTATTATATGTTTGAAAAAATAAAATTTAGGTTAAACTATGGTTAAAACTAATTATATATTTGGATGAATTTGGGGATGAAATTGGAAGATTTAAAGTTTGGGGACATTTTTAGAATGAGGGTCATAGTTTGAGGATGAAATTAGAATATTCAAAATTTTAAGGACTAATTTAAAATGATTATCATAGTTTGATGATGAAATTATTCAAATGTTTAGGTTCCAATTTAAAATAAGTGTCATAGTTTGAGGACATGTGATATAATTAACTCCATAAATTTAAACAAACAATTAAATATAAAAAATTAGATGACAGTATCTTGATAATTTTTTTGGGACATATGTGGGTATGGTCTGAACCCGCTCGCATATATATATATATATAATTCTCTCGGTAACATAGGGTCATCACCAAAACCCACACATGCAAGATAAAAACGA